AAAAAAAAAAGGGTGAGCAATTCATTTGACAGTCAATCAATTTCAGGTACCTTTAGCCAAAAGGGGCAAGCCTGGCACCAAAAAAATAAAATGTTTCTTGGGCTGTGCTGTTTCAAAGAGAATGTCTCATGTAAGCACCATTCAGTATTTGTAAAATATTCTGAAATGATGCATTCTTGACATTCTCAGATCTTGATGTTTTCTTATCTGCTTCAGAAGGCACAAACTGCAGCTAAGAGTCAGTGAGCCTCACCTGCTCTTCTAATGGTGCTAGTATGTATAGATATACAGCACATCTGTTTCTCTTTGCATTAAAAGAACAAAATAATAAAAAAAAAACAGCAAAAAATGAAATGCATTTTCCTGAGTTTCCAATGCACATAGAAACCAAAACAGCCATCCTCTTTCATTTGAATTACCATTTCAGACAAAAACCAAACACTGCTCTGCAGTTTCTAAAATTCTTGTGTCTTATCAAGCACCATCACACTGTAGTTTCTAGTCAATAATTTCATCATATGTTACTACAAAAAAAAATCAAGTAATAATTACAAATTTGTTTTAAAATATTTTATTGGTATAAAGTGACTTTTAAACAGATTCTCTCTCTCTCTATATATATATATATTTATTTTTTTTCTGCACAAATAACTGATGTTCTGAATAAACCATCTTCTGATACTCTGTTACATTCCAACCCAAACTGATTGGGCACTTTTTTTTTTTTTTTTTTTGAAACTACCTTTGATAAGAAATGCATTACAAACTCATCAGTTTTGCTTCCTGTTAACAAAGAGACAGCAGCCGTCTGGATTATTCTAGATCCGCAGTGAAACTGCCACACTATGTATGCTCAAACTAAAGCTGTGCAAGTTTGACAAGGGGCAGATGAATCCAGGAGTTATTGTGCAGGGGTTTAAGTCTATGCGGCAGCTGACGGTTGAAATAATCATCTATACATCGCTCTGAGCTAACTGGGGAAAGGTTGAAGCTGTATATTTTCAACATATCTAGCCTAATGGTTAATCTGTTGTCTTGTGCAGGGGGTGCTGGGTAGAATCACAGCAATAGCTGACAGTTTGGAGGAATTGCTGTGGGTATTTTCAGTTGCCTGATTCACAAAGTGGTAGGTAGCAAAGTCTAAACAGGCTTGTCATTGAAAGAGGGAAGTCATGATCACTGTCATTCCCATCAAAAGATCTCTGGTAGCCAAAAGCTCAATCAACATATTGATTATCTACATTTAGTAATACTGAGCTGCAGCTCATCTTCACCGAGAATATGAAAGCTGAGCTTTTTGGAAGACAAGCCAGATTGCAAAGCAGTGATTGCTCCTTTGGAGGGCAGCTGGAAAGATGCTTAGGAGAAAGGGATGGGGGTGGGGTATAGGGGGGAATAAAATATTGTTTCAAACAACGATAGTCTGACTGTTAAAAACTCTCTATGATTCTAGTGTTGGATCTGGCATATCAATACAGGGACATGGCATTACTCACTGCAGAGATTAAGGGGGTGTAGTATGAATGAGACTGAAACAAAAATGAAGTATCTGCAAGTGACAGCTCTGGCTGATGGCTGACTACGAAGGAAAACACTGTGTTAGTGTCTGGCAAAAAACGGTGCTGAAAGCCTAGCAGCTGATAGAGATGGGGGAGGAAAGGAGTGGTGGGCATTGGTGGTGGTTGTTTAGAATGTCTGGTTTTGGTCAGGATATTTTTTCCCCTTTAAAACACATTTTCATCTTCCCTTCCAGGCAAATCATGCTGAAGCCAGTTTCAGCCATTTTGTTGAAAGCACTGTTCTGGTATTCTGCCTTGTTACATTTAAATTAAAGCTCAGCCCAGTTTTAAGTTATGGCAAGTGTGTGCTTGCAAAGAATAAATAGAGATTGCCATAGGCATTATATTAACTACGTTGGTTGTTTTAAAAATGTTCAGGGAGTTGCAGATTGCATTTCAAATTATCTTCATTATAATAAATAAAATGTATAGAAATAGAAACAGGCATGATTCCTCAATGCAGTCTGTAGGCAAGTGTATAATCATTGAGCTTGAAAGAGAATTCTTGACGGTGGGGGGAAGAGGGTAGAAATGTATGCAGCTTCAAACTGTCTTTATCTAAATCCCATTAATATCTCACATTTTAAAGGTATTACAACTATGTAATGTTGACAGATTTTTTTTTGATCAAGTTCTGCACAGTATTTTCCTGTAGTGCAATTAGGAAACATTACAGAAAACATGGAATTTCCTAAATTCCTACTCTTATCCACTTCCTATTGTTTGCCATTCTCAGTAAGCTATTCATTTGCTCTCAAAATGACTAATAAATGCTATGATTCTTAGTTAATGATAACACCTTTGGGTACATGGTGAATGTCCTGAATAGTTATAACAAACTGTGGCAAAATGTACAATGCAGGCAGCACGCTCATCCTGTGACCATTTTCATTGAAAATAATTGCTTATGTCATATTAGATAAAGAAAAACTAATTTAACTGTGACAAGGAGGTAGTTCTCCTTCAGTAGACTTGCTGGTGCTAAACTCTTCACATACTTAGAGGAGAACTCTTGTGGATGTGGAGGTTCTGGTTTAATATTGCACAGTGGTACAACAAATTACCCTGATCCAAGCAGTTTGGTTGCCAAACCTTGTGAGACAGTGACGGTCTGTAAGGATGTATTCAGTTCCATATAATTAAGAGCAATCTCTGTGTCACAAATATGTTTTCCATGGAAATGAATCCACATACTAGTGCAAACACCCAATCAGATTTTTAAGAAACTATTTATAAAAATTATCTGCTTCTGCTGAACAACAGGATACTTTAAAAGTGTTTTAAGTCCTGCACATAATGTTATGTACCTGCAGAAGTGACAGCATTGGCCTATATTTCTCTCCTAGTTATACAATACTCCTTAATCTAAGAACGCAGTTATATTTTTGTTCAAAATTGCATCTCTGTGCTTGCACATGTATTTCCGTGTGTATCCTGATGTGTTGGTGGTACAGTTTATCTTGACGGGCTATTTAGAATAAAAGCAAACAATTTTACTCTCCTAGGGTAAAAAATACATAATTGTGCTAGAGGAATGGAGAAAGCACACAATCCTTGTTTATGTCTGCATAGAATATACCATAAGATATACACTATTACAGAAGTTTAGTGCATAAGGATTACATCTTGTATCTGAAGTTATTACCTATTGAACTCCAGAAGAGACTGTGAAAAAGTGTTATTTCTTAAGTTGATTGGAGGGTGGATAAGCATTATTACCTTCTATAACATGTGAAGATGCTTTGATGCAGGCATGTAGATATACACAGATTATTTCCAATGTTACTGTCTGTAGTTTAAAGGTTGAACTGGATAGATACATTTTAAATTGTACAAATACGTGCTTGACCAGTAGCTTGCATAGGGAGATAGGGCTCTGCAGGTTTATTTTATCATCTGAAAATTGTTTCACTAGAGGAATACCAAAGATAGAAGTACAAGATTTGACCAAAAAGCAGTAATTCTGAGGTAAGATGGATAATTTTTTTAGTAATGTATCCAATATGATGCACAGCAATTCTTTTGTGAAAGTTTTGCTAATGAAAGATATACACTATCCTCCAGTGGTTTAAAAGTCATCTCAACTTTCCTGAGTATGCATTATTCTTACTACACATTAAATGTTGCTATTATCTGAAAAAGAGCAAAATAACCCTGAGTTAGGCTCCGGTTCTGTTCTGATTTTTTATTTTATTTTATTATTATTTTTTTTAATCTATATCACTCAGAGTAGCAGCAAGCCTTTAACTCTGAGATCTTTGAATAGGAATGGAGACTTTATCACCGAATCGTTGAACCTAGTGAACCTGGTTAAAGAGTACATTCAAAGTATTCTTGTTATCCATGTATAATCAGCTTTTTTGATAGAGACAGATCTAGTGCTTGAGCACAAATGGCAAGCATGTGGATACTATTTATGTATCTGTCCATCTACAATATAGTGATTCTAGCTAATAATAAACTAGACGAAAATACCAAAAAGCACACTGACCTCCTCAAATGATTTTGAGCTACTGTCTATTCAAAGTTCTCCATGGAAACTTTAAGGCAACTGAAACATATGGAAATAATGCTGCAAGATTATCAGTCCATAAACTACTCCCTACTCCCTTCTCACCTCATAATACATAGCAGAATATAAGATCTTATTGGCTCAGTAGTATACCTTCTCTATAATATACCCATTCAGAATGAAACTAGCATTACTGTGTATTTTTACCAAAAATATTTGGTGAACATTGTATTATTGTCTTTTTTCAGAGGCTGGCATTTGTTAGAGATATTAATATGTTCTTGTAGTTCAATTAGCTTTGATATATTAAAAAATGAAAAAGAAAAAACAAAAAGGATCACAGTTTCAAATCAAACCCGTTTCTAAGAAATTAAACTTATTTTCAGAGATGCTACATATATGACCTCCTGAAATTTACAGCACTCAGCACTTCTGAACACCCAACTACTATTATGTAGGTTCCTAATACTAGTTTAATTCCATAAATACGCTTGCACAATTTTAAAGTGTTGACCTTTCTTCTATTATTTCTTACGTATTTTAATAGCAGAATTGTTCTACCATCCCCTGTCATTTTCAGTAGAATATGGGGAATAAACATCTTCCACAGCTAGTAAATCTCAAAGCCTTTATCAACATATGGGAAATAAGTGTTTCCTCAGACACACTTACCCTAGGATGAGATTATTGCTTAAAGATAATAATATTGTGAAATAATCCTTCTATAAGTATTCTTTTATAAAAAGCCATTTTTGGGGAAAAAAAAAATGAAAAGAAAAAAAAAGCTGCAGGTATAAACCTTTATTTCAACTGTAGAAACTGATACTTTAAGCTTAAGTCTGTAATTCCACATGATATCAAAATTGATTCATGGTTTGAAATCATTTTCAATACAAAGACATTAATTTACATTTTTTCTTATTATTTAGAAGTAAAGAATGCAGCTAGACCAAGTTACCCAAAAAGTTCATATCAATTCAAGAATGCAACTACTAATGCACTGGTTGGTGCCAAGTCCACTGAAGGAACCCCGGAACCTGTTTCACTTGTTAATAACCGTAAAGGGAGCCTCTTCCTACCCAACAATCCCTCGCTGCTGCACCTTAACTTATTGAGTTCTGTTGAACAAGGAAAATCTACCTACTGTAGATTGCAAAGGGCACTCAGCTTGCCTGTAAAATACCGCTACCACTCCCAAAAGCCTGGGTTGAACCAAGATCTCCGTAGGTAGCCCCGTAGTTGGATGCATAAGGCAATTCCAATTGGTTTGTGCATGGTTTTGCAATCTGTTTTCAATGTGACTATGACATTACTAATGCTCTGTTAAGTGCTTACAGATGTGGGTTTCTCCAGATGTGGTGATTAATAAGTTAATCAAGATAGCTAGTCAACTAATGTTTCTGGGTGGTTTGTGCTTTACCTTTCATATGGTTTATTTGCTCTGAAGCATTTACATTCTAGGCAAAAGAAGTTTACCAGGTATTCCGGTTTGTGTGTTGTTTGGTAACATAGATGCGGTTTCAGATTACAGCTCTTTTGGGGGCCTAAAAAATGGAGTCTATAGACCGTGCTAGTAGTGACCTGAGGGAGACAGTGAAGGAGACATATTTATTTTAAAAAATGGTAACAAAATAACAAAGGAAGAAGTTATGAACTAGTCTACCATTTCAGAAAGGCATTCCTTTTATTTTGCTTAAAAAATGAAATGAGGATGAAAGTCAAGTAATATGTTGTTACAGATGTTCAGCTCCACATTAAGGCTGATAAAATTACCAGCACATCTTAAATCAATTCCTGGAACATTGTCTGGAAGTTATGTCATTGAAATAATGAATCCTCTTTACTCAAGAATAAGCAAACATGTTAAAACATCAGTGTAACTTTAAATTAAACCCCAGTATAAACCAGAGTATCTGAAGCCTCATTAGATTTGCTTGACATTTTTCTAGCACTGAGTCTTCCTGAACTGCAAAACTGTTAGATTCTGTGCCTATTAGACAAGTGAGCACTGGGTTGTTACAACAGTACAGTAAGTGTTATACTTAGGGATGTGCAAAACAAGATCTTGATTTTTATTAGAACTCAGAGGCTGGATTGAGTTCAGATTCTATAAAATTCTGTGTCCAATTCTTGAACTTATTTGCACTTTTCATGAAAGCTGGTAAGGAAAGTCTGCATAATATAATATGACTGCATTTTAATACAACTCCTGTAGCATAAAGACATCAAATATACTAAAAATGGGGGCATATTCTCATTAACAAATGCACTAAGTCAAACATAGAACATCAGAGTTGAGTTGTCATATATCACAACCCATTATTCAAATATGGTTGTCTTTCAGAAGAACAAGTACATTTAAGACTCCCCTTTAAATTAATGCAGACACAGAAACCATGAAACTAAATTGATATTTTATGACTGCTAATTTTTTTTCTGGATCTGTTTCTTTAAATACACAGGAAATTGATAATCATATGTAATGAAATATGTTTTATATCCTACTTATTACTAAGAAGTGATCATTGCAACACTTTTAGGAACCACACCATAGGTAATGGTCTCTGTTCCATTCCATTCATATATTTCAGATACAGAGATTCCCTTCCCTCATTCTCATGGAGCTGCATATCTAAACTGCAGATGCACTATAAACTCTGCACACAGATTTCATTGAAAAACAAAATCTTGTTTGAATGTAATATGATTAAGACAGATTATCTTTCATTGCTACAATGAAAATGAATGGCTTCCTGGCTTAGCAAGGCATTGCTTTAGCAATGAATTGAGATCTCAGAAGGCTTTGCTAACAGGTTATTAACTAGTGAGCCACATTAACCTTGGACTTTACACCCAATTAGTGAAAGTAACAGTTTGAGTATGACAAGCACATATCAAAAGAGGGTGCTTATATACTGTATATGCAGTACAAAAAATAACTTCAGACTGCTAGAAATCTATAGGTGGTTATTCTGGATGATTAGTACCAAGACTTTGTATTACAATTGGGCAACAAAGTAGTACCAACTGCTAGCAGTGGAGAACATGAATGCTGGACCATACAATACAAAAGATCCTTATTTGAAAGGATCAGACATGTCTTTTGAACTAGCTGAAAGCTTGGAAAATTACTCTTTTTTAGTATTGTTTTTTATTGCTCATAGAAATATAACAGCTATAATATAATCTACAGTTGTCTTGTATTCCTGTAAGATTTTGTATATTGTATTGATGGGTATATAGCTTCCTTACACTATTAAAATCGTGTATCAATATACTTACGGTGCAATACTGAATCTCTTTACTAATATTCTGTAACTCCATGGTAGTAGATTAAATTAAGTGAAACTTAGAACTTTTACTACCAGGAGAGTGAAACATATCAGTTGTAGCTTGTTTCTGTAAGGAACATTTTGCATAGTTTTTGGTCATTTGATCTTTTAAATGTTAGAATCATTAGTTTAGAACTGAATATTTATATACTATAAAGAACAAGAAAGCACAGCATATGTCTTGAAAGCAGCTTATTGTCTGTGTTGTGGGATAGCATGTGAATAACTTTGATAGACAAGTTTATAGCGAGACTATGCCATTTCCAAGAGGGGTATTCTGAAATGCAGAAATGCTTGAACTTTGATATAATCAGGGGAAAAAAAAAAAAAGGAAAGAAAAAAAGAAAAAAAAAAGGTTCCTTACTAACAAAATAATTCTGTAAATATACACTTCAGCTTACAAATAACTGAATAATGAAGTGATCTAGTTTAATCCCAGAAAGAAAATTTCTGATTGCATATTGCTGATAATTTTCTATGGACATATTTCTATCTCAACCAAAGAATAGAACTAGACTATTCATCAATAAGTATCAGGAAAAAAAAAATAAAAAATGAAATGGCTTTGTCTTTGGGGATGCTGCCAGAGAACAGAGAGTTAAATTAGTGAAATAAATCATTATAAGACAGTCATTGCTCTGAAATAAGTATAACCTTTTACACAACTGTTTGGGGCATTTTTTTATTTGTTTGTTTGGTTGATTCATTTGCTTTTGTGTTCTTTTGCTAAGCTTTCTTTTGCTTTGATTGCCTGGATGAGTTACATGATGCCAGGTCATTTAAAAAGACAGCACATCCGTCTTTTCAGGGCCCAGTCCTTCGGTCTTGACCAAGGCAATATGAAGTTCCACAGCAGACTTTGGAAAACAGACAGACATGACAGGCTAGAACGCAGACTGTAATAAAGTAGTGTCAGAAGAGGGCTATAGCAGAAGGATATTGCTTAATTTGTTCCCAGATAAATCTAGGGCAGGTGACACATATCCAAGTTTGTGGTTTTGTTGTTGTTGTAGCTCATTGCAAATTGATTTTTTTCCAGCCTTTGCTTGTGCACTGCTAATGTGTATTAAGCTCTTTTAATACAGATACTACTACTGCTACTAATCTCTTTCCTTTTAGCTCTAAAGTAACAGCCTTCTAGGCGTCTGTTATATTGCTTTCTAGTTCATTTTCAAGTTAACAATAGGATGAAAAAAGTCTGTTTTTCCTTCTTTACATTAGAATAACTCAGCATTAGTGTGAATATGAGAAAGCAGGCATAATTCCCTTTGCTAGCAAATGTAAACCTTATGCACAGATTATTAAGTGCAATAACAGTCTTGAAACAGTAACGATGATGGATAATTCTTATAGATGAGCTATTAGGAAGCTGCACTTGTTTAAACAATAAACATTGTGACATAGGTTATCCAAGATTAGTTTATGATTGGCAAAATCATAACTGATTCTACATCTAGAAACTGATCTGTCATTGAAAGTGCACCTCATCCTCATTAAAAGACTGTGTAACACATGCATCCTCTGTTACACAGGTATTGTCTCCCCACTTCCATTCAACCTCATTCTGTTCTCTCCTGTTACAAATCCCTTTTGTGAGAAGGGTAGAGTGATGAGGTCTGACTTGTGCTGGAGATCTGTGCACAATGGCAGGCTGCGCTCACAGTCCCGACTAACTGAATCATTGAACATCAAGGCATTGAATATTTTACATCTCTTCATGAAGACTCTGTTGTCTGGCATGTGAGGAGCAAGAACCAACTGGTGTCTGGCTCATTAGCAAAAGCAGGCTGGCAGCTGTTATGTTGGTATTGCAAATAGTGCTTTATCTTTCTGGGAATATAGCAAAGCACTAATTTTACTTTTCTGTAGCTCAGATTAACTGAAAATAATGCTAAGAATAACCCGAATGTCGTTCCCCCCCCCCTTTGTTTTTGAAGTAAGAAAGCAATTTGAACGCCTGTGTTCAAAACCCTGGTACTCTTCCCTGCTTCTCCTTCAAACCAATTTCTTTGACTAACATGTATTTGATTTTTATTACTGTTGGGCCTGTGTTAGCAATGAACTATCAGTGCGTGAATGGACATAGAGTGTGTGTTCTTTGCTACTTCACTTGTATTTCATTTTGTACTTAGAACAGTGCTTAATCTCATGAGTTCCTTATATTTCCAGTTGAAGATGAGCAGCCATCGACACTATCACCCAAAAAAAAGCAACGAAATGGAGGCATGAGAAATTCACCCAACTCCTCACCCAAACTGATGAGGTAAGACTGTAAGAAACTCATGTCTTCATCCCCTTTCTTTCTTCCTCCCTTCCCCTTCTCCTCCCCCCACATCAAAAAATAAGGGGAGGGGGTGGAAAAAAAGATTGTTAGATGGTTTCTGAAAGGCTGAAGTATTTATTCTGTCAGCTTGTCAGCAGTTAATGATAGAGCTGAAAAAAATTCTGTCATGAAAAACAGTTTGAAAAGCTGTTTGAAAAATACATAGGCTTTAAAGTCTTAGCTGTCACCCTGTCCTGTCCGTGTGTAGTTCTTAAACAGCAGTGGCACTAATGATAGCACTATCCAATCAGAGGAACTCGTGTGGTTAGTTTGCCTCAGGCAATTCTCTTTTTGTTGGATTCCCTCTGAGTACTGTTTTCTGTACTTAAGGCCATATGTGAGATGTATCATCACAATCAAAAATGAACCTGAATATTACCTTCCTTTTATCCTGTCGATTGAAATCAAATTTCTGTTAATTGATTTAGACTGATAAAAAAGTCTAATAATCTATGTACTTGACAAAGCAAAGTTCAAAACTAATGCAGTTGTACTCAGGTTAAAAGCATATTAATTATGAAACACAAGGATTTTTTAAAAGGGTAGTATATACTCTAAAAGTGGGTGATGAAAACGTCATCTTGTTAGTGATATTTTTCCCCTGTTGCTATATGTACATTATTTTACACTTGTAACATCTTTGTATAACTATGTAGTTTCATTCCATAGGACAGTTTTCCTCCAAGAGTCTTGTTAAAACTAGAACTACAACAGGAAATTGGAATCTATTAAAATAATATGGCATTTTCATTCTGTCTCACTTGTTTCACCCTTTGCCTGTTCAAGTCAGTCAGAACAGGATCAAATAGTAGATGTGGAGTCCTCTGTAAGGAGGCAGTTCCTCCTCTGCTTTTGCATATCTAAAATAACCAGTCTAGAACCTTGGTCCATAATTGTATCCAGAACTAAATATCATAGCAGTGATTTTCTACTGCATACATGTACAGAAAAAGTGCAAACTTCCTTAGATAGAGCCACCTTCATGCAGTTTGGGGTTTGGGTATACGTATAATAGTAACGGCTCCGCAAACAGAAAGGTTAAGTGAAAAAAAAGGTATGAATGTATATTTATTTCCTATATAAATTCACTTGTGTTTGCTTTTATTGTTGACAATTATTGTGTTCCTTTAAGAATTTGTGTTACAGGTAGGTAAGTAATATGTCTCTTTGCATTTCAGACTAGGAATTTTTAAAAGAACATCCATGTTTGTTTATTGTTTCTGCATTGTAGGGCATATTTAAGGACATAACTTTTGCAAGTCTACTTCATTTCTGTTTACACTATAGAACCAAAAGTGAGATTGATTCACAGAGGAAAATGCACACAGCTGTGTCCTTTTTTTTTTTTTTTTGACTCTTGACCATCTATTTCTGTTAAATGTATCATTAAAAGTTCGCTGCCTTCGTGTTAGCTTAGTCTTGCCCATATGACACTGATTTACATGCTTGTTTACACTTTATGAGGAAGAATAAAATGAGCATACTGGCAAGCTTCTCATTTTTATGATGCCAGTTGTCATCCTAGCATCGTTTTCAATTTACTTACCTTTGGACAGTCTTCTTATCTGGTGCTAATAGTTTTAACCATTTAAAGTTTTTAAAATGTGAGAGAGTGTCTTGCCACCAAATACTAATTTTGGGGAAGTAAAAATAAAAAGAAAAAGGAGAAGGGGGAGAGAGAAAGAGAGAGAGAAAAAAAAAAAAGAAAGAAAAAAAAAGAAACATTTGGATCTGAGTGCACTGTCCCTGTTTGCTATGTAAAGTATGCCTCATTTCTTTGATCTTGAGTAATAATAATTCTGGGGAGTTATACTGTTTTCATATGCTTCAAAGCTGTGTCAAAGTTTTGCTGCTTAAGGGTACTTCTTTATTCTATTGGCTCTTGGGTACTGAGATGACAGGTCCTCTGTACTAGGTGCAGGCTTTTTCAAGTCATAGCCTTCAGCAAAACATCAAATTACCAAATACAGGGTAACATACTTCTACACAAATGCCTTTCCTGTAGATATATTATACCATATATATTAAATACTTTAGTGTTACACGGTACATTTTATGTGCAATAGAAAGTGATGGTTTGAGGTAGCCTTAGGGGTACTTTTTTCCACAAGCAGAAAAAGCTAGTGTATACCGTATCAAGTATGGTTTTTACAGGACTTTCTGCCCGAAGGCCTTTGTAAATAAGTAATGATCAACAGATTGGCTGTGGGTTTTTGAAAAGCATGCCTGTGTCAGTTTGCATGATGGGGGAAGATTTTCAAAGTGGAGCCTGCTTTCATTGCCTGCTGAAGAGGGACTGAGGGAGAGTAGTCGTCCTGAGCCTGAGCTGTCTGCTCAGTAGCATATCAGAATTGCTAAATACAGGTCGAGCAGCAAGCAGAGAACTTGCCAGGCTTCCAGATCTAGACATTGTTTTCTTCTTCTCTCTTACTGCTCTTTTATCCGCTAGCACCCTCAGCCTCTCCCCAGACCCAATGGTCTCTTTGTCTTATCCATTATCTACACTGACTGATCTTTGGTTCAACGTGCTAAATAAGAGAAAGCTGATTAAATCAGAAGAAAACTCTGCATAGCTTTGTGTGCAATGTCCATCTTTCAGCTTTACAATAAATGAAGGTGGGCTGTATTATTTGCTAGTTTGTATGCTTGCTGGTTACCTAAAGTGACAGGTACTTGCTCTGCTTTCCTGCCCAGAAGTATTTAGTATAAGTCAGCTAAAAGTGCACAAAAATATAAGTCAGCTAAAACATTGTCATGTCTGCAGTTGATATATACCTTTGCAATATTCTTCCTAAATTTACATTAAAAGAGCCTTTTCAAACCCAGCTTGACCCCTGTCCCTCCCACAGAAACAGCTGGCAGAGTTTCCTCAGCTGCGGACCTAGGTCTAGAGGGGGCCTGAAGAACAAGACTGGAGCATGTAAAAGAGAAGTAGTATGTGGAAAGTTCATCTGTAAATTATAATAAGAGCTGTGACTCTAGAGTCACTTTATGAGCAGCCTTACAATTAAGAAAATGTTGAAAATGCTGCATAGATTTTAGATTTCTGCAGTGGCTGGGGCAAATTAGGGAAGATGGTATTATGCCATGAGATGAAACTATGGGACCTCTGCTGTCACTGAAATAGAACAGAGGACCAGATGCTGTATCACAGGTATCCCCTGGAAGTTGTGACAGGTGGTTATTTAGACCTGGTCAGAAGGTGGGCATTCCTGAGATTCACTCATACATAAATAGAAATCTATATTATCAAATCTGATGCTAATAGATGGACTGAAGACATCTTTTCAATGTCAATTTTTTAATGTTATTGTCTTTAGGTATCAATAAGTCACTAACCGAAATAAATAAATGATACGTATTCAAAAGTTCTTTGTATATGTCATATATGGTTTAGATTCACATTTACAAAGTCATTGTTCTAACTGACTCCTGTATCACATCTAATGACATTGGCAGAATCACACTGATGCAATGCCGGAAGAACCAGTGGTTAATCAGGTAAAAATAGTTCAGAATGCAACTGTAGCTATAAATGTGAATGAATTAGGAAAATACAGAGCCACTCTGCATTGTCAGAATTACTTTTTATCTGTTTCACACCAGGAGAAGTCTTTCCCATTAACCCACAAGAACATGGGTCTTCAAATATACCTGAACTCCGAAAGGAAAAAAGGAAGGATACTTCTCCTGTGGAGATGTAAACACAAGGGCATACTATTGCAATAAGAAGTAAAACTAAAATGGAAATTGAAAGGAAAAGGAAAGAAATTTGTGATTAATAATCACATATCAAGTTTACTTTTTCGTGAGATGGTGAGGAAAGTGGGACTATTTGATGCTTCTGGTGTCAGGCAGTGACATAGTCACCTGTTCATTATCTGACAGTAATAAGTTTTCATGTATGCTATTGATGAACAGCCATAGTAAACAGGCTATGTCACCTGAGTATCAAGTAGCAAAGCTAGTTTTAAAAAAGTGTCATTGTTGATTTAGAGTGACCAGTAAAAATGTGAAAAGCCCTGGGTTTAAATCAAAAAAAAACACTTAAAAGGATTGTTGTTGGGGCTCAAGTCTTCACTTACTGATTTGGTAGCTGCTATTGCATGAGTGGAATACACTGAGTTAAAGGAAATGTCAGCCCAGCTGAGTCAAACTACCTCTTAATGCAAGAACAAATAGCATATGACAGGGCCCAAGGGGCCTGAAGAGCAAACAAATAGTTTGTCCCTGTCCACTCTGAAAGGAATGGTGTAGTTGACATAGGCCTCTAGACAAGTAGCATACTCAGCAAAGGGTCATTATCATTAGTGTCCCTGATCATATACGAATCAGCAACATCAGAGGATGCTGGATTTTCAGTGTGTTGCCAAGGAGAATTTCGTAAGCCTGAGGATTTTTCTTGATCAAGGCCCCAAAATAATTCCCAGCTAAACCATAAAACTAGTTCAGAGACTGTCAAGAGACTGTTCAGCTAAGTGACGTGGAAAAAGTGAGCTTTTTGGCATACGTTTTTGGAAACCTTAATGAGATTTATCTGAAGTTGAGTGGGAAACCTCATGTGTTTTCCTGAAGCTGGCTATAATATTCTAAGTATATGAGCAATGGCTGTGCACATGTATCTCCTCATCTGCCCATCCAGCTCCATGTCCTTGCATGTGCAAACACATTTCTTCTGGTGCCTCTCAGGGTGAATTTGCATATCCCCTGCCACTGTAGCACTGCCCTTCCACAAGCTGAAACTGTGAGCTTTCATGCAGGAATAATAAAATAAAATAAAATAAAATAAAATAAAATAAAATAAAATAAAATAAAATAAAATAAAATAAAATAAAATAAAATAAAATAAAATAAAAGAGGAGAGGTCAAAAGGATGAATATTTCTTTAAAAAAAACTGGTTAAATGAGTTTAATCTGATCATTTTTGGAGACTCCCGTAA